CAAGCCCTGTTGTCTAAGGCACACAGAGGCACTGGAGTCTCCTCTGGGCAGCAAATAACAAACAGCTGAGTGCAGATGATCCCAAGCCTCAGAAGGAAAGAGCAGAGAGGAGAGGCATGAGAAGTCCTCTTCTGGGTCCCAGGTCATCTGGGACAGCCTCTGCGAGAACAGTTATTTCAGCTGGGTTCTGTCTGGAGGAAGAACAGTCTAGGGCAGGAGTCACAAATCAGCAGGGGTAGGGGCTTCTGCTGGGGTGCTCTGGAGCAGCTCCAACTAGCTAGTTATGGCAAAGTGTGGGAACAGCCTCAGGTAGGGGGAGCCAGGGGCCAGTGGGGTGAGTCCCAGACATTGTGCACCTGCTCACTGAGCCCCTGCTGGGTGCAGGCACTTTGCTGGGTGCTGGGGCCATCACAGAAGGCCACAGATCCCTGCTCCCAGGGGACTTATGCTCCAGTGGAAAGACACAGGAGAGACAATGTGGGGGGGGGACATGTTTGAAGGGGGAATGGGCAAGGGAGCAAGGGAAGCCAAAGTGGGTGCAGGGGTGCTGAGGAGGCAGGAGGGGCGTCCTGAGTCTTACTGAGGAAGAGCCTTCCTGGCAGAAGGAAGAGTCAGTGCAAAGACCCTAAGGAAGGAATGTGCTGGAAGCTGAAGGGCATGAAGGGTAACAGAAAAAGCGAGTCTGAGGCAGGGCTGGGGCAGGACTTCTCCCCTTCCTCTGCAGGAGACACAGCTTTGGGAGGCTTTGCATTGATGGAAGCTTCCATTGGAAAGGATTTCTCAGACTGCTATGCTGATGATAGACTGTGGGGGTCAAGGGTGGCAGCAGGGAGATGAGGGAGGGGATCCCACAACAGCCAGTGTGAACCTGGTGTGGTGGTGGCTGCAGCAGTAGTGGAGGGGTGTGAAGTTGCATTCTGGATGTCATTTGGAGGGAGCAGTAGAATTGATGAGGGCTGGGCCTGGAGCTTTGGGGTCAATTAAGTTTGAGACTTGGCTTAAATATCTATGTCTGAAGCTGCGGAGAAAACAGTGATTGGCAGACAGATGGATGGGAGGCCACAAGGGGATGACAGGGAATGGTCAGGGGAAGGGGGCTGGCAAACAGGCTGGAAAGGAGCTGGGGGGAGGAGCATCATTGAGTACCTGCTGTGTGGGGGACTGCTGGGCCATGGGAGGAAATAAAGTATCAAGAGTGACAGCCCACCTTACCCCTCTCTGCATTCCCAGAAGCCTCAGCCCTGACCCTAGGACTCATCTTTCCTGGAGTCTGTTTTATTTCTTTTCTTTAAAGGTTATCCTGTAGAAAAATGGACTTTGGGGAGTAGATGACTGTGGGATGAATTCTCCACTCAAAGTGAAGACCCAGGCCTGACCTATCACCTTCTAGAATGTTTGGAGTCAAGTGGGGAGTGACAGGATTTGACTCACTAGCCAGAGAGCGCCTGAAAATGCCATCTGCAAAAGAGATAGTGCAGGTGACCATAGGGTCATCACACCTTAGTTGGAGCCATGAGACAGGCGCTGAGGAAAGATCAATCCCCAGGCAGACAAGGTCTCTGACCACGGGGCTTGTGAGTCCCCAGGGGCCTTGGAACCCCAGGGGGGACATGGAGGCAGCAGTGGAGGTGGAGAGGGGCTTGATGTAGAAGACATTTCATGTAAGTAGGGCCCACGAGGCTGCTGAGACGGTGGGGTGGGGATCAAGGTGCCTCCAAGCTTTGGCAGGAAGAGGGCAAGGAGCAATGGGGTAGAGATGAGACAGGAGACATCCAAGGGGAGGCACCAAGGAGCCTGTCAGGGTGTCAAAGTCTGGCAATCTGGATGAATGTCCCTGCTGCAGGTATACAAGTGGACATGGTACAGATGGCATTGATGGTGTCCAGATGCTCTGACAGGCTGTAGACAGCACTACCAGCCTTGAAGATGGCAAGGTTCCTTTGGGAGGAATAGAGATAAGCTAGGGAAAATGCAGGAAGCCATGGGGCTGTGGGCTGTCCATGAGCACCTGAGTGCAAGCCCAGTCTCCAAGAGGGGCCTGTCTTAGAAACATTCATTAGTTTTCACTAAAACAATTTCCCAGGAATTGCTTGCACCCTCCAGCTTAGGGTTACCTAAGAACACCAGCATAAAACCAATAAAAAGCCATTTTTAGTAGCCCCAGATTTGAGTGCAGGGAAAAGAGGACCTGGACAAAAAGTGACTCACCATCAGCTGTAAGACTCATGATGACTTGAGCCTGCTTCGAACACAACAGCAGAATGTTAGAGCACGGTGGCCCTCTCATTCTGGGATAGATCTCTCGTTCACACCTGTGCTCCCCAAGTGTTGGCTGAGAAAGTACTCCACTGGGCTGTGGTAGTAGGAAGCAAACATGGCAGATTACTCCCAAGAGGAGCACCCTAGACAATCTTTTAGGGCCAGAGCAGCCATCGCTATAGAAGCGGAAGCAGCAGGCAAGGACTGTCCTATGGCCTTGGCCGCCCTTTGTGGGGGAGGGCTTTGGAGTTCAGCCAGGTGCAATGAGACCTGTGGATAGGTTTGAGCAGGGGCCTGGCCTGATCATATGACCCAGATCCAAATAAGGCCTCCTGCTCAGCAAGGAAAAGGGTGTTGCCAAGATCATGGGTGCATTGCTGGTGAACTTACTAAGCACATCCCCAGGATCAAGGGCACCAGTGTTCAGCTTTTTCTCTTTTCTGTGACTTAATAGGTGTAGCTGGCAGCTGGAGAAGGTAATGTCCTGAGCATCAACACTCCAGTCCTGCACCAGAAATCCTAACTAACAAGAAAATATCTAAATTGGCTATAAAAAGTAAATTATAATCTTTTTATTAACAATGTCAAATGGGCCTCAATTTCTGTGATACCCCTATTTCAGAAACCAGTCTGGGATAAAGACCTGAGAGAGAATGGCTGACCATCTGCAATCTGGCAGATGTGGCTTCACCAAGTCCAGAGAAAATCCTCACTGGATTTCAACAGGGAGTTAGAAAACTCCTGTTTTATGGAACATTTTGGCTTCATTTTTTTTTTTTTTTTTGCACTGCCCAGACTCCAAGGTCTGCCTCCTTTAAACTGATTTAGGAGCTCTGTGCTTGCCCTGGCTGAGCTATAGGCCCCAAGGTCCAGACTCTGGGGGCTGAAAGGGAGTCATTGTAGTCAGGGTGATTCATTGTCTAAACTAGGGACTGGCCAACTGTTCAGAGAGTAAATATATTTAGCTTTTGGAGCCAGGTCTCTGTTGCAACTACACAACCCTGCTCTTGTAGCTTGACAGAAGCCGTGGACAGAACATAGATGAATGCCGATGGCCACTTCCCAATAAAAACTTATTTATAACCCTAGCAGAGCGCTGGGGTTAACCCTCTGACTGTAGTTTGCTGACACCTTATCTAAAGCAAGAAAACCAAATTCTAGGACCTTGAACTTGGAAATGACATTAAGAACTCATAATATGTCCACTCCCTCACATAGGAAGGAGCTAACTGGGGCCAGGCAGACCCCAGTGTCCTACCTAGCAGGACAGCACTCTTTCCACTGCCCCCATAGAAGGGCGGCTGGACTGGCTTTGCTTATGTTGGCTTGTGTAAGGCCTGACAGAAGCCTACCTATCAACTTCTGGCTTCTAGAAGCTGGAGGGAGACCAGCCTGGGAATCCAGCAAGGGATCAAAGACAGGCAGTGGTCCTGTGGCTCATAAAAACTGATGAGACTTGAGTCCATGTGTAAGTAAAGATAGAGAAGTCAGAAAAGGGAGAAGCTAATTGTCAGAGCAGAGTCCTGCAGGAGATGCAAGGGGCTAGAGGACACATGAGCTTTGCTGAGGGCTGAGGGCTCCAGGGGCTGACTATGACAAAGTGCGAGGATGTCTGCATGGAAGAGTGAGGAGGAGGAAGAGGGCGGAGTGTGAGAGAGGTTGGAGGGGAAGGTGGCAGTAGATTGCAAAGGACTGCTGGTGGTCCCAAGCATGCAATCAAACCCAGATACATCTAGCTGCTGCATGGAGCTGTGAGGAGATCACAAGGACCTCTGTAGTAGATGGGGCAGCCTGGACAGGGGCGGGTGATGTATTGCAAATCAAAAGTGTGGCCATTTTCACTCTTGGCCCCAGATTGGGGACTGACAGGCTCTCAGGCCTGGGGCTCTGATGAGGGGCCTATGCCACAGTCCCTGGTTCTAGTCAGATGGGCCCCAGCTCTGTGGCCAGGGTGGGGAGATATGGACAGAGGAGCAGGGAGAGGCCAAAGCTCTGGGGAACCCTAGGACAGAAAAGGGAGCAGTAGAGGATGTGGGGCCAGAACAGCTGGTAAGGTAAAAGAAGGTCAACAGGAACAGTGTTGGGGAAGTTTCCAGAAACAAACAGGAGGTCAGCTGTGTTGAGTGTCCCTGAGGGATCAATTAAGATTAAGATACAGAAGTGGCTGCTGGACTTAGCAGTAGGGATTGTGGTAACCAGATGTGACTGGGCATGGTGGGTCTTGGCTGCAGCCACAGGAGCCACGGTGATGGAGGTGAGGGAAGCTTATGAGGGAGAACCATTCCAGAAAGGCCAGCAAAGCACATAGGCTGGGACCTCTCTCTTATCAGAAAGTATTTAATTCTTTCAGGTAAGACACAGTAGAGAGCCCACTCTCCAGAAGTCTCCCTTTTAAAAATCATTCTTTACTACCAAATTGAAATTCAGACTGGACAGACCCCAGGAGCCACCTAAACTAGTCCTGCTCCTAGGTCAAGAGCAAAGTGTTCTAGAACATCTGCCCAGGTCAGCCATGTTTCCTGCATGGAGATCACTTAAGACCAAGGCCCAGACCTGCAAGCCCTTTCCACGATGCTAGCCCATTCCGTGTCAGCCCCCCCATGGATGAACATTTATCATGCGATGACCCCCAGCCATTGATGTGGGCAGAACTTGGCAGTACCAGCCAGCCATTAATTGTTTCCTTTCCTTTCCCCCCTCTCTGCTCCCACCTCTGCCTTTCCCTCCACCTCCCATTCCAGATCCGGGTGGTGAAAGCCTTCCGTAGCTCACTCTATGAAGGCCTGGAGAAACCGGAATCCAAGAGCTCCATCCACAACTTCATGGCAACGCCCGAGTTTCTGATCAATGACTACACCCACAACATCCCGCTCATCGATGACACAGATGTGGACGAGAACGAGGAGCGCCTGCGAGCACCCCCACCCCCGGCCCCCAACCAGAACAACAACGCCATAGACAGCGGCATCTACCTGGCCACGCATGTCACCAAGTCAGCTACCTCTTCAGCATTCTCTTCCAGGCCCGGGAGCCCGCTCCACAGTGTGGAGACGTCCCTCTAACCAGAACTTCTCTCAGCACATGCACACTTGGACTCACATGCAGTCACACGCACTCACGCACACACACGGGGGGCGGGGGGAGCCCACACACCTGCCAAAGAGGGAAACGACTAAGGTGGCTGAAGAATATTCTTGTAAGAAGCCAAATCCATCCAGTAAGGTGCAGTCCATCAGGCCTTCCATCTGGGACAGAGGAAGAGGAGGAGGAGGGAGTAGATGGGCAAGTGGAGGAGGAGGGGGGAGGTTCTTCACCCAGATGGGAAGAAGGAGAAAGGAGAGAGCAAGAACAGGTGTGCTCCCCAGTTTTTTTCTACCAACCCTTTTTTAAAGAACACTACAATTTCACCATGTGTTCGCCATTTTGGCTGTGAGGTGGGGGCAGGGGCTGGTTTGGGTTTATTGGGAGCTTCATTGCACCCACTAGCAAGCAATCAGATCTGCATACCCGCACCAAAAAAGGCCAGCGTTCTACAGGGTCAGGAAGGGTGCCACTGCCCAGACAGGCCACCGGAGGGAGCCGCCTGCAAGTGTACCTGCAACTGCAAAGCGACTCATCCTGAGTACACTAGAACCATCTGCAGTCCCTGTGTGTGCATGTGCATACATATATGTGTATGTGTGTCTATATGCATATACATATATATGACAAGATGCATATCTAAAGAATAAGGAACTATTGGCATGATATTTCCATTCCTCTTATTAGGCGTTTTCCTTTTGAAACTTCATTACTGAATGTAGCAAGTTTTTTTTCAGGGAACTAGGCTGCAAGAATATGTTCTCAGTTAATATCTTTTCTTCCCTAACTCCTGGCCCCTCAGGACCCCACCCCCACCCTACTGCTTCTCCTTCATAGCCCTGCCAATTTCCCAAGGAGGAAGTCTGGGGAGGGATGCTCGAGGCCTGGAGGCCTTACAATTGGAACATTTGCACTTTGAGACCCCTGCCTATAGAGGAGAAAAACCTTTCAATGGGATTTTTTATTTAAAAGGAAAATACCAAAGTATTGATTAGAATGGCCCCCCTCCAGTAGGTGGAAGGGGAATTTTTGTTTTGGCTTCCTTTGGTTTTGATTCCAATTCCAAATCCTTCATTCTGGCTGATGGTTTTCTTTGTCTAACTCCTACTTCAAGAGCATGAAGCACTGTGTGTGAGCTATGGGTTCTACAGCCCCTGACCCATCTAACCCAATGGGTGGACCCAGAGTCCTTGGGAGAAGCCCTGGAAGAGCAGAGACTGATCGCCCCCAATACAAGACCAGAGTCCAATAGAAAACAACTGAAGAAGAGGGATCATCAAAACCTAAGAAGCTGGGCTGGAGGTATGGCTCAGTGGCAGAGCGCTGGCCTAGCATGACAAGACCCAGCACCAAACCAAACAAAAAAACCCAAGAAGCTGACTTGAGGGAAACCATCCAGACCCCATCACCCTTGACACCACTGCCTGGGCTCCCACTTTGTGTTTTGGCAAATGCCAGGAAGCACTCACCGGCCCGCCTCAGTGTCTCAGTGTCTGCTGCAGCACGGGTAGTGTCCCCCTGCCAGAGCACTCTCCCAACCCTGGTCTTCTCAGCCAAAAGATAAACATAACCCACAAAGGCATGGATTTGTGTCGCTGCCACTTCCGGCAACATTAGAGAAGCAAAGCCTCTTGGAGCAATGGCATTTTGTCAGTGTTGCTGTCAGTCTCATCATGCCAGTGATTCAACTGGGGCCATAGTGGTTGAACAAGGGGCAGGCAGGGCTCGGAACCATCCAGGCAGGCAGGGCTGGTCAGCAGGCCAGGAGAGCTGGGCCTGGGGTTCCTGAGATGGGTTCCCCAAGCGTCTCTCCTGGCAAATGCAGGCACCCAGCACACCAAGCCTCGTATTCCTAAAGAGCGATAACCCAAGAGGAAAATGCAGGGAAGGCAGGAGTGAGAGGCTCCTGATGTCTGGGACAGATGTGCCCCTTTCCCATGGAAGGCCAACACCCTCCTGTGCCTCCAGGTTCCAAGTGTGGACACCCACAGTGACACCAGTGAAATGGGCAGCACTTTACCCATGAGGTTCCTTTACCTTCTGAACTCACGGGTGTCACCCATCACAGGGAGGTAACTGGGGTCTCACCACAGACCCCACATAAGCCTACTGCTTAGGGCTCAGCATCTGGGACACAGGTGGAAGCCAAGGGGTGTACAATGAGAATAAATGGAGCTCCCCAGGGAGCTGGGCCTGTCACACCCCCATCCTGTACTGGAAGCCCAGTGGTGGCCTTGCCTCACCTCCCCAGCATCCATGCAAATCCAAAAGAAAACATGCTCTGCCCCAGCATTCACATTAATGCCATGTCACCCCTGAGCAGGAGTAGTCAAATCTCGGGCAAAAGAATTTCAGTTAGAAGAGCAAATCCCACTTTCCAATGCCAGCTGCGGATACCTTAAAGCCATCCCTTTTTTCTAAAGGGCACATTGAGAATGTTACTCATTTGTAAATTGTTCCCTGATGTCCTTGTTCAAACCACCACAACAAAAAAGGGCAACTCAATTTGTTGAGGGTCTTTGTGTTCTTCAACAAGAAATAAAATTTGAAGCGTTTTGGTTGAAGAAGGTCAGCTGTATACGGCCACACTCATGGGCTTCTTTTCATCCTCTGTTGTAGACACATCGGTAGAGCAAATGGCCACTATATATTAAAAAGCAAACCCTCACTGCTGCTGTGTAAAGTTGCCTGATGTAAATGTTGACTGTGTGGTCCCTCAGTTGCCTTTGCGCTGGGCTGTGGGGTTCGGGAAAGGGGCACTGTGAGCTTGCATCTTTTGTTCTGATTCTTGTACAGTCTTCAGGCTGAGGGAAGCCCCTCTTTCTAAAGCATTATATTATATGGAATGGCTTGGTCAACTGTGTTCAGTTAATAAATATGTTTTACATTTTTATCTGCCTGTTATAAAGATGAACAAAAATATCTTAATGAGGAAGACCACAGATGCATAATAATTTTATGTCTGTAGTGGAATTTTTCCTAATTTAAAGAATAGACCAAAATTTCTGTGTATAAAAAAAATGAAAGGCTCCTACAATCCTGGTCTGGGCAACGTGTGTGATTTCTTATTTGCTGAATTCTCTCTCGGTGGAAGCAGAGGTATGTTCACACGACTGAGCCAGAGAGGAAGCTGCGGGTGTGGCATCTCTCCCCAGGTATGCTTGCTGTCCTGTGGGGTCCTTGTCAAGAAGCAGCCAGTCCATCTATGGGATGAGAGGTGTTCTACCTGTGGGAGCTTCCAACTGGCTTGACCATCTTGACTTCTTTTCTAGTTCTAGGGATAGAACCCAGGGTCTCACACATGCTATGTGAGTGCTCTGCCACTGAGCCATACCCCAGCCCTTAAACCATTTTTTAAGCACAAAGGTCAGTGGCTTTGAGCACTTCCATAGTATTGTGTAAACATCCACCATCCATCTCCACACCTGTTCATCTTCCCACACTAAAACCCTCACATCATCAAACAAGTCCCAACTCCTCCTCCCCAGCCTCTAGCACCCACCATCCTATTGTCTGTCTATGAATTTGGCTGTAAGACTCTCATCTAAAGCCTCTCGTGGAAATAGAATCATACAATATTTGCCCTTTTGTGACTGGCTCATTTCACTGAGCATCATGTTCTCAAGGGTCATCCGTGTTGAAGCATGTGTCAGAATTCCCTTCCTTTTCAAGGCTAGATAATAGTCCAATGTATGGACAGACCACATTTTGTTTATCCATTCATGGATGGACACTTAAGTTGCTTCAAGGTTTTGAGTATTATAAATAATGCTGTTGTGGAACTGGGTATACACATTACTCTCCTAGACCTTGCTTTCCATTCTATTTGCAGCAGCTGTGCCATTTTACATTCCCATCAGCAGTGCACAAGGATTCCAGTCATAGACTTCCTCTTTACTCAGAAGCCATGAAAGGAAAGTCCTCATTTCACTCATGCATTTACTCCACATGCCTCATTCCTGCGCTCCTCAACTCCCTCTGAATACCCGTGCACATGGACATCTGTGCTTCATAGTGTTTTCTTTAGGCCAGGAAGAGCCAGGCAGACAATTCTATGACCCACAATTTCAAGTCACCACTGCAGCAACAGTGCTAAGACTCCCTTATCCCATTTCGCTATGTTTCTATTTCCCTGCTCCACACATCTCCGTTTTAGACTTGGCAGCACCAGAGGACACATTTTGCAGGGCATCAGCCAAGAAAAGAGAAAAAATGGCTTCCAAGCTCCCTCCAACCACCAGAATCTGTGTTTCTACAGCAGGCAAAAAGACAAATAGCAGAACACCCTTGTTTTATTGCTATGCAAGTACATATTGAACCATGCAGATAAGAAAGTCTAGATTGGCCAAACTCCATATCAAGACAGCTGGCACCATCTGGATAGACATGCCCCTCCCCAAAGAATTGGGAATTTGTGTCTGACTTCTCTTTCCCACAGGTTTCCGTGGGGAAAACTCAGTACTTAGCCAAATGGCTTGGGGCAAGAAAGCACTACTGCAAAGGAGCCCTGAGGGTCTGGGGGAGGGCTGCCTGAAGTGTCTTGGGGCTGCCGTAGCCAATTTCTACAAACTGGGTGGCAAGGAAAAAAAAAAAAAAACAGAAATTTATCCTATCACAGTTCTACAGGCCTGATGTCCAAGGTGAAAGTGTTGGCAAGGCCAAGCTCCTTCTGAGGGCTCTCAGGGACAATCTGTTCCAGACCTTTCGCCTAGCTTCTGGTATTGCCAGCAATACTTGGTGTTCCCCGGCTGCTAGAGGCATCATTCCAACCTCTGCCTGTGTCTTCATGTGGACTTATCTCTTCTAAGGATACCAGTCCTTGGATTAGTGCCCACCCTAATGACCTCATCTTAATTTCATTACATATGCAAAGACCCTATTTCTAAATAAGGTCAGATTCGTGAATTTCAGGTGTGGGACATGGACAGGTTTTTTGAGGGACACAATTCAGTGAGTCATAGCCAGGAAGGAAGAGATGGGCCAAGTCTCTACCAACACTTGGTTGCCCTCCTCCTCTTTCCACTGGATTTATAGGTCAAGTAAGACTCAGCCATTGATCACTTTACAGTAATTAAGATATACTCTGCAAAAAGAAAACTCCTAGAAGCTTCAGATTCTAGAATATTTTATCTGAATCTCTCATTGCAGGCCTTTTGAAACCCAAAATAGAGGAAATAGAAGGCTGTGCATCTTTAATCTCTATTATTTTTATTATTATTTGCAAAAGCCTTGGTAATAGGAAAAACAAGCAAACAATTACTTTAATTTTACCATGCATAGAAAAAGGCCTCATGTACTAGGCATGGTAGTGCATGCCTGTAAACCCAGCCACTAGGGAGGCCGAGACAGGAAGATAGCAAATTGGAGGCTAGCCTGGGCAACTTAGCAAAACCCTGTCTCAAAAAGAAAGAAAGAAAGAAAAAGGCCTGAACCACACTGTCCCACCAGCACTGACAGACACTAGCTGAATATCATTTCAGGAAAAACAGACAGGCAAAGTGACAAGCACTGAGATAATGTGACCAGTAGCACCAATCAAGGCCAGCATGTCCCCAGAGCAGTATAATGGGCACACAAGCTATGGAAAAGGCATTTTCTTTCTTTCCTTCCTTCTCCCTTCCATCCTTCTTCTTTCTTTCTATACTGGGGATTGAACCCAGGGGCATTCTACCACTGAGCTACACCCCAGCCCTTTGCATTTTTTGAGACAGGGTCTCACTAAGTTGCTGAGGCCAGACTTGAACTTGTGATCCTCCTGCCTCAGCCTCCCAAATTGCTAGGATTACAGGTGTGCACAACCATTCCTGGCTTCTTTTTTAAAATTTTGACACAGGGTCTTACTAAGTTACTTAGGGTCTTGTTAAATTTCTAAGGCTGGCCTTGAACTTGAGATCCTCCTGCCTTAGCCTCCCAAGCTGCTGGGATTACAGATGTCCACTGCCACATCCAGCAATAGGTGGAACAAGCAAATACAATAGGAAACAGATTATTTGCTACAGCCTCAATTTACAGAATGGAAACTGGGAATTTCAGGTGTGGGACATGGTCAGGTTTTTTGAGGGACACAATTCAGTGAGTTCCACAGAGAGAAAGGAACTTGCTAATACTCAATTATTATGAAAGAAAATATGAAGTATTTTGAGGCTGAGCACTCCTGGTGCAGTGTGGTACTCTCAGCTGGGGGTGGGAGGATGCTCCCCAGTCTTCCGAGGAGCTTAATTCAACCATCAGCTTCCTCACGATATGCCCTGGGGAAGGACTGAGAAGAGGGGAGAAAGACTGGAACATTAGTAGAGAGAGCTTCCTAGGGGGTCTGGATATGCCCCATCATCCAGCCCTCTCAGTCCACAGGGGAGGGCTAGACCTTTGGAGAGGCTTTTAATTCCTTGGGGTCCCCTCAAGTTTTGGACTCCATCAAGGCAGCCTGGGCCTATACTTTTGATGTGTCTGTGAAGCCCATTTAAGTCAGCAATAAGCATTGGCCAAGAGCAGTGCACCATCAATGGACAGGCAAGGTGCTTGGCAAATAGAAGGCAGAAAGGACAGTCTGGAGCCCTGGTCTATCCTTGAAGGTTTGCCACCTGGGCTGTCCTCCTCCCCTTAGTGCTCAGAACCCCTGCCCTGAGCCCTGGGTCTAGGTTACTGCCGCTACCTTCCAGGGGCTCCAGTCACACTGGATAGTTGCAGAAATTACACAGTGGAAAAACGGTATTCTAGGGACAGCAGAGCCCAGAGGAAGTACCACCAGACCCGTCTGGAGCAACCTCTCATCCAAGTCTAAAGACTGAGGAAAAACAAAAAATACATGAAGGCAAAGGGCAGGGGCAATAAAGGAAGCCAACTGCAAAGAGCCCGGCATCTTAAGAAGCCAGGGTGCAATGAGAAAAGGAGAGATGGGGATGAGGATGCAACTTTGGAGGTCACTGTCCAGGACACCTGGCCAGAGTCCTGGGCAGCCAGCAGAGGCAGTGGGTTTCAGTGTGCACACCTCCCCCCTTTTCTGGCTCACCTGAAAAGCTGCCTGTGCGTTCCAAACAAGTCAATGGTACATCTCTAAATTGGTGGCAGATGGATCTTCTTCCATTCTGACAGAAGTACAGGACTCCTGTCAGGTTCATCATTGTTAGCACACCCAGAAGGAAAGTTAGAGGCCTCACCCTCTCCACATGCCTCTTGAGGCTCTTTCAGCACAAGGCTTGGTGACAAAGGAGGCTACATTTGTATCTGGAAGAATCCAGAAAGATTGCCTCAAAAGCCTGTGTGGTGAGCAACTACACTGTGCCCCAAAGTACTCAGGAGAGTTGTTCCTTAGCAATTTCCTCTTCTACACTAAAAGATGGGCAAGGAGTTTCGCCTGCTTTCTTAGCTGAGACGGTACACAGCAGCTGCTCGATAAACATCGTAGCATGACCACTTGGTCTCAAACAGACGCCAGGTCAGCCCACTGGGGAGGGCTGTGACATTTGCTCAGCTTCCTTACCCTGGGGACAGATAACGTGGTTACTCTGTAAAGCTAAGCAAGTTCCTTGGCTGACCTACCACTACTATGCAACCATTCCCTTTGCCTCCCACCAGGGATGAGTACAGCCCAGCTAACAGGAAGCTCTCACCTGGAGCCCCATGTATGACTCCAGGCATTCCCAGGGCTCAGAGGCCTGTGGGTACCAGATCCTACTCCCCTATGGTAACAACTTGGCAAATGTGGGGAAGCAGCCACCATGTGCTCAACATGCATCGAGCCCAATGGGGGACTGAGGGAGCAAGTGCCGGGCGGGTTGCTCACAAATCCAAAAGCTAGCCTTTCTGAAGAAAGGACTTGAGTGGGGAGTCACAGGGTGCCACGCCTTGGCATCTCTTCAGATTCCCCTTCTAGACTGGCTGTCTCAACATAAACATTACCTTAGGACTTCCCGCTACACTGGGATCACGTCTGGTTTTCCTGAATACCAGTGACCCTCCCCAAAGATGGGCTGTGCTCTCAGCCGGAGTGGGCCACCTCCCAGGCTGCAGGGTTCCAGTGCACCCTGGAGCACAAGGGGCAC